CGCTTTGGGCACCCCATTTCATTTCCTTTCATTTCTTATCGCTTCTTTAACTTGCTAAGTTTTTCTTTATAAAAGTTGTAAATTATAATTTTTTATTGCGTCCAATTGGTCTTTATCTTTTTTTTACTTTGGACAGGTTCGATGTCGTTATACAAACTTTAGCTAAAGTCGAGAAGCCAGACCACAGAAACTTATTGCATTTTCAGCTGCTCTGAAGACATTTAAATATTTCTACTAATAAAGCTTAACTTTCGTTTCCAGCAAGACCAAACGGAAAGAATGGCTAAGAAATTAATAAGTAAAATTCAATAGACGTTACGCGAAACAGTAAGTTACTTGGTAAAAGGAAAAAAGAAATAAGAGAAAAAATGGAAAATTGTTCTCGCCATACTCAATAATGTTACTTGCAGGAAATCTGCACACCACCTTGTCACAAAAGTCGTTCTTTTGTAGACCGCAGCTCGAGGGGCACGAACGTAACTGAAATCGATTTGAGGCGACGGGTGCGGCTCAGAGAGAACGTGCTACTCTCGCGCGTCTGCGAGTTGTTTTTTTTTTCTTCCTCTCTCGAGACGATGCCATTTCTTCTTCGAAGATTCTCTTTCGTCGAGCTTGGACGTTGGCGAGCTTTATTTTCTTTTTTTCCTTTTTTTTTATAATATTTACTTTTCTTTCAATCCCTCTTCGCGTCGGCCGAGCTGGATTTAGCGGAACTAGTTTTTGGATTAAAAAGCTTTTAGCCACGGTACTGAGTCAATAATGCATAGACTATGATGATTTTCCGCAGAGAACTGGAAAAGGAAGCGACTTGCGCAATAGACAAGCTAATTTAAAAATCGAATCCAAATTTCTTCTTGTTGAATGTTCTAGCGGTGAATAATGGCAAATATGGTTTCTATCGCTGGTATAGAAGTTTTTCATTTTCATGTTTGTAAACTTTGGTGGTGTGGGTTAACATTTTACGTTTTTTTTATCAGTTGGATATGGAATAAGATCTTATGTATACGCTGGCTTTCAGAAATATGATACGAACGTTTCGGTATACACAGCTACGCAACTAAGTATAAAAGAAGGATTGAGATCAGTTTTCTAGTATAAGGTCCTCGTTTCCCGTATAACGTGCCAATAAACTTATAAATTGCCTCTTGTCCGTCTATATCTATCTTGGGATCAGTACAAAACCAGAGGAGTGGCCGCAAATCGCCCATCAAATATTCACACGTGAGATCTCTTGTGTCCCTCTTTTTTACTCACCTGCAGTTCCCTTCGCAGTATAAGGACGCGATGTCTCACGATAATGTGATTATTTGGCGGGCGAAACGATGCGACGACTTAAGTACTTGAGGGCTGCGCACGTCGAAAGCTTTGCCCGAGTTGCTGTTATCATGCGCGACGAGCTTGCGCACGGTTAAAGGAGGGAGGGGTCTTATGTGTAGTGAGCCAACGGTAAACACGACCACGATGTGTTTTATACCTGAGCTTTATGGTAATGTCTTTGTGTAAGGACCATGCGGGCTGTAAATTTTTGCTGCTAGGCCCTGTTTATGCACGCATACGTATGTACTGCTTTTAGTATTTCAAAGATATAAACCAGTCATCTGATATTTCATTAAAATAAATACGGATAAAGACGTTATTATCAAACGCGCTTTCAATAATGAACCACGTGGAAATTCATTTATACTTTATTTTTGTACAAGAGTAAATAAAGTAGAAAAATAACTTAGTTCATTTGCGAAGATGACATCTTCATTAATGTTTTACGAACCTATGTACACATAAAAGTAGCTTAGGAGAAAGAATCAATCAACCATAACTCGAACATATTTGAACGAAAAATAGAATTAACGAAGGTACTACTTATCGTAAATTAGAAGTTACGAGCCTGAAGCGAAGCCATTTGGCATCATTGACGAAGCCAACATTCTTCTGAAATACTTTAGTAAGAAGGCGAATAAATGGCTAGTCTTCATCTCGCAGTGTTATTTTCATCCCATTGAAATTGATTTGGTCGTTACTTTTTTCTTTTTCGCGGATCTTTTGCCTCCACTTTTGACAAAGCAACAGACTGCTAAGGTGAATTTAGCCGTCTATCCGTGGATACTTTAGCTTCCACTATCCGTCGAAGACAAATTGATCCGCATTGAGTCCTGACTAATTGTGCGTTCGTTGCGCGAGACGTCGCGTTACTTCTTTGAATCACTCTGCCGCTGATTATTCTATATTTCAATCGCTTTGAAACGTTAATTCAATGTTAAAAATAAAAGACTTCACACCCGCACGCGTGCGATTGTTGATAATTGCAGCTAATGAAGCGCACGCTAACGTCAACGCATTCTGAATGCACGCAATGCCATTATCCCGTGCAATATAGTTTACCGTTCGATTGTAAACCGCAGCAGTTCATTACTGAAAGCGTGCTTCATTCACACGTGACCAGAGGCTGAAACCGGCGCAGAGTTATTTCGAAAAATTCAGGTGCAGCCTGTCCGCGAACAATGCATTTTTTCCATCCCTTCGCGACACAAACGCTTGAGCTTCATTAGCGTCGGCCCGTTGTTGGCATACGCGTCGAGCGAGAGCGCGAGAGAGAATTCGATATATTAGTTTCCGCGCGCGTATACGCGAAACGTAAAATCCGATTTGATATGCTTTCGCAGGAGAGCGATAGCAATATTCATCCTGGACAAGTATCCGCGTTATAAGACTGATAGAAACGCGCAGCCTTCTTTTTACGCCATAACTTTCATCGCCGTGCCGTTTTCCGCATTTTGCTTGTATACCCACTTTCATTCCTCGCCTGCGTGCTTCAAAATGTATATACATTCCGAACTCCATACGCCACGAGACGCGATGTTCGCTGCATCGGAAAAAAAGCTATGAATGTGTAGATCGCTTTGCCCTCGCAGTGCTTAGCTGCAAGTGTCTCAGCATCACGTGCCGCAAGCAAGACCTTCCATCCTTCCGAGTTCATTCAATGAATAATGCGCACGCCGGAATATTTATTTTCGCGATGTGGGGAAGAAACGAAGAGACTATTTTGTGCAAATAAATAATGTGTAGCGGTATAATACGGCCGTTCCCGCTAGGGTTAGTTCATGACCGACCGCACAAATTATTTTTAAGGAGGATTCGGGAGGCACGAACGCTCCCACGACTAAATCATTCTAACGCGTCAATCGCGCGGACTGGATTCAGAATAAGGAGTGATGGTTAGGCAAACGAACGTGACAGCGACTTAACATTAAGGCCTTTACTCAGAACAACAAGAGAGAAAAATAAAGGAAATCAAGAAAAAAAATAAAAGCAAATCAACAAGACAAAAACTCAAAATGGCGACTGCACCGCTCGCTCCCTTATCCGCACGACAGATTACGCGCTCGCGAAGATGAATATACTACCCTTACTTTTAACGCAAAACAATAATCTGACGTCCGTACAAAGAATCAGCGATCGTGGCCGACGGTATAGCAGGCAGACTTGCCACGTTATCCGTGATAGGCTGACGCCCGAAGCATACGAGAGAGAAAGGGAGAAACGCAGCACCGACCTCGTCCGTTGGTCTCTGGCTCCGTCGCTGTTGTTGACGTCGTTGGTGGTGTTGCTCCTGTTGTGTTGGTGGTGTTGCGCCGGTATCGCTCACACGCGCACCGGTGCCGAGTAACCATTCAATACTGTGGCTGGCTACCCAGCCAGTAATCCAAACATTCCACGCACCGGGTGCGTCTACAAACTATTCCTCGTCGGCGAGGGTACGGGGAAAAACTTAAATAAAACACAGTAAGAAGTGCGCGCGGGACGACCTTCGGTACACCTTGGCAAATACTGCTGATCAAAATCGGCGCGAAAATGCGCGCGCAACTCTCGATCTCTTCCTTCTTTTCTCTCTATTTCTCTCCCTCTCTCACTCCCTCTCGCTCTCTCTCTCTCTATCTCTCTCGTCGCTCTTCTTTTTCTCTACCGCCTGCGCCCTCCTCTGTCGGTTATCCTCGCGTCGGACCTCAACAAACAAACCAAGCATGAGTGTGTGCTCTACACGCACACGCTCGCAGCTTGACACGGCGCGTAGAGCCCGACGGCAGAACGCTGGCCTTACTACGATTCTCCGTCACAAATGTAACACTGTATTCAAAGAAATCTTTTATTTTTCTATTAATTCTTATCTTATGTATATCTCGGATACCTATCTTGCAGTTCGTTTAAAAAAAGTTTTTTTTTTAATGAGTTCACAGCATTTGGCTTAAGAGCGTAGATATATTTAAAAAATTTGTTTCTCATAACATCGAAATGATACATTCGACTTCAAAGGTAAATTCAAAATGTCTATAATACGGCAACACTATAGCGCCACGTCAAAGGCATGGCGTTAGAACATTCGCACGTCGCGGAGTGAGAAAATCAAAACAAGGCAAATTGAAACTGCCGAGCTCGTGCAAAGTGCAAACGTGAGAGCGCATCGTGGCACTGTACAGCTGTTCGTTACTTCTCCATTAGCGCTTAATTAAGCCTCAGGCACACTGAGCACGCGCGCACGCGCGCGCACACGAGCTCGCACGAAGTTGCAAAATACACGCGAGTGTCTCGAGAATTGAAGCGAAGAAAAATGCGGATTTTCGGCGTACGACGACGCTCCTAGAAACTGCACTCATTACGGCAAAGTCTGAGGGATTGAGAAGCGACCACACTAGACAGCAGCATCGGAGAGGTAGAAAGACGATATCCGTGCACTCGACAGATGCAGCAGTGCGCCCAGACATTCTTGTACGTTTCCGAATGCTGCAGCGTTGGATGAAATGCTCGAGTGTTAGAGGGAGTGCAATATGCTTGTCTTGGCGAATTCTGGCTTAGGGTCGCGGATATACATGCCATATGCTTCAGGATCATGCCGAAAGCTTGCGACAGACATCCGTAAACTATTTTCGTTTTTCACGTTTACTATTGCACAGATGTTATTATAACCTTTCGATTTGAAATTTTGGATAATTAGCTGACCAACTTACCCGTCGACTGTTGCCATCCTTGGGATTCAGGTCGGAAGCCACTGTGCCGAAGATCGTAGGCTGTAACGAGAAACAAAGAAAAACGTCAAAATATATTTTATTGTATATACCTTCGTCGCACATCTATTTTAATATTTGTCAACTTGATTTAAATTAATGGTACGCTGAGAGATGCAGTATTAAAAATTAAATTAGTAGACTCGCCATTATGAAAATAAAGCCAACTGCAAGAAAGTAGGTTGCAGACAGTTCGTACGAGGAAAAAGGGGCACGTTACTAAGGCGCAAATGTCCTCTTTGAAAAAACAACAAACGAAAAAGGGGAGAGAAAAATCTGTAGCTGTTAATTCCAATTGTCAGTGGCAAGTTGAGCTACTATGGCGTTAGGGTATTTATACGAGGCAGAGCTAACGAGTGTTGTAGCTATTTTTTTCTTTCTCACTCTTGTTCCATTTACAAAGAGAACTCCTTGGCAAAGAGGCCCCTTGTTGCCACGGAGCCTCCGCGGATTTCCGAGGGATCAAGCTCAGACAAGAAAACCATTATGCAATCTCGTACGCTACGGACCAGTGGCCCTTCTCTCAATGTTTCCTTGCTTGTGCTCTATAAGAGCCTCTCTCTCTCTCTCTCTCTCTCTCTCTCTCTCTCTCTCTTTCTCTCTCTCTCTCTCTGGCGGCTTTGGCCCACACCATCATTCTTCGTCGCTATTTTCGTCTTCGTCTCGGGAATGAGCTCTTTCTTCCGCGAACCGCTTCTCTATCTATCGCGTATGCCGGCAGTCGATGTTCAAGACCACGTTAAATGTATTGTTGTTTTTCGCCGTAACTGATATGTCTGGCAATATACAAATGAATCTTCAGTTCCGACAACTGAAAATGTTTTGTGGAGTGATCTATCAACTGCTATTGCTGTAATCAGATAAGCACTCAATAAATAAGACCAGTACTCAGACGAATAACCAGTCGGATAAGTGTCAATCCATCAAACGATGATTGATCGAAAGACCGTCGCATCGAGGCGGCTTGTCGTTTCACGAGCCTATAGCGCGCAGAATCTAAACACGCAACGTAACTAAATTACACTATATGGAGGAGAAGAGGATCAAAGTTTTCAAGTACCTTCGCGAGGCATGTATCCAAGGTTGTTTGGACCGCAGGTGTCGAGTGTGAGACAGATAGCTGAGCGTTCATCGTATAATAAAGTAGCGTACACGCATGGTTTGTCTCACTTTTAAACAAGCTCGCGCGCCTGAAGTACCCCGAGAGGATAGAGATACTCCGATGACGTGGCTGACCGTGTATGTGGTCTTTCTCGAAAACAGACCCAGGATAGCTCCGTGTGCTCGGTAATTGATTGTCACCAAGTTTCTCGACCGTTGTGCTTCGCTCTTGCCATTGTATCCGAACACCTCTTCATGCTGGCTTACCTCCTCGTCTTCGTTTTTATTTCTTTTATATTCTATCTGGAATTTCCTTTGTTGGCTTCCTATTATCAAGGCTACTTGTAGGGTTGAATCTGATGACTTGCCGAGTTGCGTTGTGGGTCATAGAAATGAGATAAAATTGGAAGTGTTTCTCTGGTTATGTAGACGTGAACGAATTAAAAGATATTTTCGGTAGTTAGCTAATTGATCTATAAGGACAGAAGTTGCAAAATTGGAACCTAAAATATAAACGAATAGAGCGCAGTAGAACACACACATAATTGTCAAAGCTTGCAAAGTAACTTAATTACTAATTAGTAAAAGCGAGTCTCTGTTTTTCGAGATTCCTCTAGCACCATTGAATTACAGCCTAGCAAATATTTTAATCCAATTAGGAATCTGAAAGAACAAAAATGCTGAATTTACATTACATAGATTTATAATGTGCTTAAAATGTCTAAGTTTAATGATGATGGTATCTCCATCGAATGGGTTCAATTTTAAACTAATCTGCTCGAAAGTTCGATTAAACTGACCATTTTCATGTTAATTTTGTTGATATATAAATTTATAAAGGCTCGCTGAACGTTAATTTCTCGCGAAAGCGCAATTTCTAAACTGCCGCAGCAAAGGCTGCTCCAAATAGGCAACTGATTGGCACTTTGCATGCGAGTTTGCACACGTGAAGTTTGCGGACGGAGAAGCCGTTATTTGGGAGCGTCGGGTGGGGATAGGAGCGGCGCTGATTTAATGAGAGTCGAGCGGGTGGTGGCCGGCCTTCGAAAGTGTGGGTCAGCCAAAATTTGCAAGTGCTGGCGTGAAATTCTGCGTGGCGGCGGCCGATCGCAGAGGCAGCGGTGACAATGAGCCGAGCGAGCACGATTACCCAATTCAAGCGATTATACGCTGGCTGAACGCGTTCCAAAAATTAAAGGATTCAATAGAATTTGTTACGGATAACGCGATTGACGTGCAGCGCGAACCGCGCGATCCAAGCTAAAAAGAATTATGGTGGCGACACGATAATGCCATCCGCTAAAGCGAATTCAACTCGCGACGATGTAACCTACCGAGTCTTGCTTTCTACACGCATAACCCAATAAAAGCTCGATCACACTTGCACGCGTTACGGTGTCAAAGAAAGAAAGACTATTTTAAACAAACCAAGTTACTCCGCGAGGAAAAGGCCATCTGTTCGCTCGTTCTCGTTGTTTCTCATCATCGTGGCCTAAGCGCAAGCGCAAATGATGTATTCAGCGACTGGCAGTAGGTTTAGTCTATCGTTCGAACTCGAGAAAGAAAGGTCGCAATTCAGCGAAAAGCTAATAAACGCCGGTATAATGAAGGTAGAAATAACCTCAAGTTTTAGCATGAGATGCGACTAAGAAAAGCATATCCCACACTGTATATAGAGCGGATCGTCGGTTTCAAGATTCGCTAGTAGATGCGATATATAATTTAGGGATAAGCAAATCCCTATCGAGTTACTGGTAGCGGTCTGATTTAATTGGGCGCTAATTGCACGGTGCGCGCATGGCTCACGGTTCTCTGTACAACGTAACGAGAGGGAGAGAGAGAGAGAGCAGGGCTCGTCGCAGAACAATTAGGGAGGATTGTTGTTGCTGTTGCCGTTGCTGCAGCGCTGCATTGTGAGGTAATTACATTTTAAACTCATGCCGAAACAATATAATTATTTTGACGAACGCGCGCGAAATTTCAGCGGAAAATCAAATTGTCGATTAGCAGATGCGATTCTTGGCAGCAGGCTTGCCAAGCGCAAGAAGCGAATTTTTTAAATGGATCAAAAAATTAATTGGCAGTAGACTACCGCCAAGGCTCGACAGAGAACAAATGTAATTACTTTCAAGAAAGAAAGGTCGATCCGAAGTCTCGGCATAATAAGACCATCATCAGGTCGTTACCGTGATGATTCGCCAAAAACGAAGTGCAGAAACGCAGCGCGCCTTTACTGCAGATGGATTCAGTGAGACGCTGCTTCCGGGATGATGAAGAAGTTGGAAAGCGCGCGAATGAGGCAAGCTCGAAAGTTCTTGTGCTCTAGGAATTAAGTTCATCCGAGTTAAAGTGGAGCTATCCTTTTCTTTCGAGCACTAAGAGTTCTTCCCTCTAAGCTTCGAGGAGTGACAGAAAGTTATATAACATTCTGCACAAAGGCATTGAACGAAATTCAATACTATTTTAGATAATCATACACATTTTTTATGTTCTGCTTATAGCGTTGTTAAAATCACATTTGATTTCGTAGAATTTAAAAAGAAGCTTTCTTTTCTACCTCAAATGTTAGTTGCTGTAAACAGTGTTAAAATTACAAATAATTTAACTGGTCGATATTTATTTATTTAACCAAATTGAAACTAACAGATAGTTAAGACTTTGTTTTATTCATAATACTATATAATAGTAATTGCGCAAAAATTTGTTAATGTTGCAGCTCGATCATTAGTATTTTTTTAACCACATTGTCTACACTTGTATTCATAACGTTGGTGTAGCCAACCATTCCTAAAATACACCTCTACGCTTACCTTACATCGCTGGCCCTACGTATTATCGTAATCCACGCCTTCGATCGATCGTGTACGCGGCCTATGAGAACCGTCTCTTTAAAGGGCAACGATGAAAAACAAGTGCTGTCAAAAACGCCGTATCAAGCAGCCTTAGCTTCGATGAAAAAGAAAAGCTGTTTAAAAATATTATTAAAACGCGTATAACGTATAACCGCGTTTGGTGGTTACAAATAATAGCGACGAAAGTTATCCAATAAATGTAACGGCGGCGTTGCGCGCGCCTTTGCTAGCAACGACATGCCGCGACGCGTGTGCAATAATTTAAAACAACATTGTTATGTCGCTGCGAGCTGGAGCGAATTTTCTTTTATCATGCTTCCACGATACCTTTCTCCGTCATATAAAACCGTTGAGTTATTGCTCGTCTCTCGCTCGCGCGGATCAACCAGCCTAAAAATGAAGCGCAGCATTTTCTGCGAGAAGCACAACAGTAGCTAATAATCGTGGCTGCCGAGTGCATACGAGAAAACGGGAAAAGAGAGAGAGAGAGGAGAGAGAGAGAGAAAGAGAGTAATGAGAGTTAGAAGCGAGCTTGCAGAAGCCCCATTCATTTTCATTTTCATTTTTCCGCGAGGTTGAGCTAACACGATGGCATCCTGCAAATTCCCCGAGCGCGGGGGCCTCCGCGATGCTCCTGGCATACTCTGGATTCTTAAGATTTTTCGCGAAATCGCTGAGTGCTGCTGCTTGCAAGAAAAGACGAGCGAGCGAGGCTTCCTTGTAGTCTTTGGTAAACTTGCTCCCCCGTGAATTTGACAGAAGACCAATGTTTACATATGACACTCGCAGTATACTGCACGCAAGCTTCTTATCTCTCGTTACAATTGCTTATTGTGTTGCAAATATTCGATTGAATCGTCGACATAGAGAATTAGCCTTTCCATTTATTATTCCTTCACTGCGTGTGATAAAGGCATTTCCGTGCATTGCGAGAGATGCACTTTTGCAAAACTTACCCAAATGATGTTCCCAATCAGAGCAGCTAAAAAGGCAATTATCAGTCCGTAAATTGTAGGAAGCGTTTCTTTGTCTTCGAACAACATCGTGTTT